TTGCGGCAAGAGGCTAGTGTTGTCTGTGTCCTGCAGACATCTCGGGAGCACCCCAGGGTGATGGGGGACGGGCTTGCCAATGGGCCACCCCTCGTCGTCGCTGGTTTGTATGTGTACATCCACACATGTGCTTAATCTGCCCGCCTTAACCCGCATGAAGAGCAAGGGTTGAGTTAGAGAAGCTCCCCCATAGGTAGTTAGCGGGATTCCCTGGTTGTGTGTAAATGGAGGATACTGTTAAGTTTTAAATGTATCTTGCGTTTTAAGAAAAAAGATGGTGGTGTCTTAGGTATGGTTTTAGATTCTTTATCTCACCCCCTCCTTTTTTCTTTTAAGGGTGGGGATGTTACGGCCGCTGCCGTTTTGAAGCCCAGAGGTGTGCTCCGCGCCGTTCCCTGTGCAGCAGCGCAGCACCACGGACAGCTACGCTCTGGGATGTTGTCCTTACTCCAGCACCATGGAGAGCGCCGGAGCGGCAGGCACAAGCAGCTGGGACTTTTTATCTCATCAGCCGGCCCTTCAAAAGCGGCCAGCTGGAGCTCATCAGGGGAGAGAAATGTTTGGAGTTGCAGAGGCAACGTTTGTTCTCTCCCCGTTGGCAGTTAACAGGTTGTTGTTGGCTTTTTGTACAGAAGCAGCTTTAGAACCTTTTGTGTTTTGGGATAGTTGCATTTAAGCGGTAATTTTGGCTTTGGTGTGTCTGCTAGACCATCTTGTGGTTTAAATTACCAGGTGGGGATTATTCCCCTTTTGAAGTCTCAGTTTCCTGAGCTATTTTTGTTGTTTGGGTAACCTAAGTTAATTCAGCATTTGGTTTTGTCTGTTAGACAAACCTTGGTTAATTTAAGGGTGGGATTTTCCCCTTTTGCGTTTCATTCCCTTTTTAAATAAAGGAGATTAATTTTAAGAGTGGTTGGTCCTCTGGACATTTTCAGTTATTCGTTTAAACTTAGTTTGGTAAGGGTTTTTGGCCCTTCTTTTGGGTACTTTCTTTTTGTAATAAAATCCTTAAAAGGAAACTTTGAGTTGGTCTTGCTTGGACAAGAGGTGCCTTTTTCTCCCCAACGAGGGTCACTTTTTGTTAGACTGGTCCATCTTATGTTTATTCCCCTCACCTTCCTAGCTGAGCCCATAGAGGGGTGTAACAGTACAAAAATCTCAAAATATTCCCAGATTACCTTTGTGATGTGAGACTTCTGCTTATATTTTTATAAGCATCATAAATGTTGAACTTTTCTTACAATAAAATAATATTTGCATTAGTGGCTGTCAATAAAAAGTCCTAATAATAAACACAAGGGGGTGCTCAAATCAAGACTACATTTAATGTGTTTTATAAACCACCTAAGAGTGAACTTTGTGCCAAATTTCAAGAAGATTGTCAAAACAGAATTTGCGCTACAACTGCTAGCCTAAAAATGTATTTTCGTAAATATAAAGAGCAAACCTCTTATATAAAGAGCTGCGATTTTTGTGACATGAACTCAACGCTACCCAGTTAACAACACTTGAAAATCTTAGTCTCTTACATGCAAATAATGATTTTTAGGAAGTTTTTCACATTTGAAATTTTAAATGATCGTAAACCACGCCCACTTTGATCGATCATTACCATATTGATATTGTAGTCTTCAGAGGTGGAAAGTAACAAATTACATTTACTCACGTTACTGTAATTGAGTAGCTTTTTTGTAAATTTATACTTTTTAAGTCGTTTTAAAAAGCTGTACTTTTACTTTTACTTGAGTAAGTTTTTAAAAGAAGAATTGTAATTGGCTACATTTTAAATCATATCCGTTACTGAGTAAAAATAAATTATAGGCTTAATAAATTAAAAATATTACGTGTAGCAGCGTTGGAACGGAAAGAGACACCTGCATGAGCGCCGCGTCTAAACCGTGGGGGGTGTGGGTGTGGGGGTGTACACTTTAGCTCAAAGACATCGGTTCAGTTCCTCAACTCGCTGTTTACCTCCTCTCTCCCTCCTCTCCTGTGTGTTGGATCCCGCACCTTCGTGCACCGGTGTGACATCATCAGAAATCTGCTCTGTTCGGTAGCCGGACTCGGTTCCGTGTTTGAATTGTGTTTCTCTACCGCTCCGCATGGAAGCAGCAAAATAACGTTTAGCGCTCATAACAAGCGGATTCTCAATGCTTTGCTCATAAAACAGAAGACCTGCAGGCCTCTGTGAGTTAAAACATCCTGATACTGTTCAGGTGTAAACATTGTGCTCCATCCCTGTGTTTGAACTCAGAAGATGCTTCTTGATGCCAGATATGTGATGATTTAGCTTGTTTCTTTATTTTACTCCAGAATAAGAGATTAAATTATTACTAAAGCAGTTCAGTGTAGTTAAATTAGTCATTCACATGATTCTAACATGCTGCTGCTGCTGTGTGTGTGTGTGTGTGTGTGTGTGTGTGTGTGTGTGTGTGTGTGTGTGTGTGTGTGTGTGTGTGTGTGTGTGTGTGTGTGTGTGTGTGTGTGTGTGTGTTACACATATAGGACTGCATGAGACAGCGTGGTTTCATCAAATCCATGCAGTCCTATATCTTGGCTGAAGTAACGGCTCAGGAAAATAACATATTTCATACATAATGATGTCTCTGCAGTGTTTATGATAATGTTTTATCTTATCTTTGGTCTGGGAGGTGTAACTTACATGCCATTTAAAACATGTTAAAGTGTTACAAGAAGAGATAAATGCATAAATTTAAAGTTCAAGTTTGGAGACCAACCTTCACAGTTTGGAGGCTCACGCTGGTGAGGAGACACCATTAGTTCTAGTAACACCTGGACTCCCAAGGCCTATTCTGACAGGATGGATGTTACGGGACCCTTAAGGATTCCAGTTGGACGATTGGAGGATTATTTAGGAGGACTGGAATGAACAAACTGATTTCAGTGGTGAAGGGTTAAATGAGTGAGCGAACCCACTACCAAGGATGAACTCTGCTAGCTTTAAAAATCAGCTGCTCTAAATAAGCATGAAGGTCAGAGAGGAGCTCTAGGATGGACAAGGATAAAGGAACTGTAATGTAGAGGTAAAGTAGGGCAGGGCCAACGTTAGCAGCTGTCATACGGTCCATCTGAAATGTTTGACTGCATTAGACTTGTTATATTATGTGACAGGTTAGAGCACAGTCTCATGTTAGAGTTTTGTCATGAAAACATTGAGATACCTCACACACTGATGGCATCTTAAAACATTATTTTTTCTCAAAATAAAGAATAATTTTAACCACAATTGAAACTTACCATCCTAGAAAAACCTCGTCTAATCAATGTGCACGTCCTGTTCTCACTGATTGGATAGAAATCCCTCCTTCAAGCTGAGCGTGTGTGTATGTGTGTGCGCGCACACACAAGAGCGAATTGTGAACTGGCGTTGTGATTTAGCACTACTTAGATGTAGCCATCCTTACGCTGACAAAAATGTAACTAAGTAACTTTTACTTTGAGTACATTTTGTTTACGATACTTTTTACTTTTACTTAAGTAAAAATTTAGGCAAGTACTTTTACTTGTAATTGAGTAAAAAATTATCAAAGTATTGGTACTCGTACTTAAGTAGGAAATTTTAGTAGTCTTTCCACCTCTGGTAGTCTTAAGACTCTATAATGATGACAACCACAAAGTTTCGCGCAGATACTCATCTAAATTTGACTGACTCAATGAACATACAGGATGAGATCATATGTTTTTTTTTTACTGAAGAAATTGCGATAAACATGCCAAACCATTTTTTTGGGTACAATAGCGCCACCTATTGGACAGAATTAAATTTTTTTTCTGTGACTGTAGATGTCACTATGACTGATATGAATTGTAACTTTCTGTATAAAATATGTATTTTTCATGAGTAAAAGGGCGAAAAAATTTAAAGCCTATAAGCCACGCCCACCTTTTAATAATTTTCAAAATATAGCTTAAGGGTCCGATGATAAACATATGTGCCAAGATCTGTGGAAATCCATCGAGCCGTTTCGCTGAAACAAACTTTTTGACTCTTTAGCATTCGATGGTCCAACCAAGGTGAATCCAAACAAAATTTAGTAGATAGGGCTTACCGCACATACTTTGAAAGGGTCTAGAGTCTCATCGTCTTATCTTGATAAATGGTGGAGATATCATCAATTAGGACATGTGCTAGCTAGCGAGCTGAATTTGACATGGTGTCATTAGCCTAATTTTTTATATTTTTGCATGTTTCTTCATCACAATGACTTAACTTAGTCAATAGAGCTCCGGGAGTTGACGTCACTTCTCCCGGCATGCAACAGTTCAAATCGAAACGGCGCCATATTGGCTGGCAGAAGTCCGCAGCTGGACCATTTGTCATTGTCAGAAAACTCAATCAAACGGGAAATATGGTAGATTCCTGTTGTGCACCAGGATGCAGAACAGACGCGGACGACATAAGGAATGAGCCATCTACAGGATTCCCCAAGATCCGGAACGCCGCAAACGTTGGATCATTGCAGTAAAACACGCTAGTGACCGGGCTGAAATGAAGCTGTGGGATCCCGAGAGTAAAGGATTTCGCTTATGCAGCGACCACTTCATATCAGGTACTTAAACCAACATTTCCTCAACTGTGTATGGTATTTATTTTAAATGCTTTTATTACAATTCTTAGTGGGCTTCCTAAACTTATTTTGGCGTGGCTTTTTCTGTCTTATTACTCAGCAACAAGTAAACATCACGTAAAACGTTGCCTCGTGATTTCTGCTACTGCCGTTTACGTGTCTTATGATCACAGCAATTAACTGGCTAAGCTGTATTTAATTTTTAAGCAATGGTTAATCAATTGTCAGATCACACATAAAAATCACTTTGGATTCCTATTATCTGTCTCACCGAGACAGATCTCAGACAGATCCTGAGACGCTCCTGCCTGACATATTTATTTTATTCACGGAAAAAAATCAAACTAGTGATTTCTCTTGGCGTTCAGTTTATACATTCAAACAGCACAGCACTCTATTTAAACTACTTACATGTAAATCTATGTTATTTGTCCATCCATCCATTTTCATCCGCTTATCTGGAGTCGGGTCGCGGGGGCAGTAGCCTAAGTCAAGAGGCCCAGACTTCCCTCTCCCCAGCCACTTGGGCCAGCTCCTCCAGGGGAATCCCAAGGCGTTCCCCGGCCAGGTCCGGTAAGAAGTCCACTCCGACAGCTTCTGGCAGTTTTTAAAAAGTATCCCAGGGGCACGGTAAGTGTCTGAGATGTTTAGTCTATTTAATTTCTGACTATATAAAATGATTTCTTCAGTTTTAAAGTGTGAAGTAAACTCCGACGAAGTAAAATCCAAGCCGATCCTGTTCATTTTGTTTACATTTGTTGCCTGCCAACATGGCGTCTACTCTCTGAGAGTCACGTGACGTCCGGAGCTCTATAGATCATATGTACAAAGTTTGAAGTTGATTCGACGAAAAAGGATGGATTGGTGATTAAAGTTTAACGTTTTTTGCGATCTGGTAAAAAATCTAGTTAGGCGGAAATGGGCATGGCCAATACAAAAAACATGCAGAATCATCCAAGGTTCATGCACATATAAAGGTTTTGACTGTAGGACCTATGGTTTGGGAGCTAGTAGCTGAAACGCATTGACCTTCGCATTAGCGCCAACTAGGTGAATCTGTGTACAAATTTTGGAAGCTGAGTAGCGGTCAGGATTTTCTATTAGACTGCCATGTCAGATTTTTTCTGGCATTTTCTGGCTCCTGTGCCCATATGGAATTAGCGAAGAATAATAATAAACTAGAACTGCAAGCAGTTATCAACGGGCTCCAAGCCAACCAGGGCCAGTCTCCCACCCGGCCCGGCCCTCACCTTCGCCATTCCTCACGTGGCCCTGCCCCAAAAACACATTCTCCCGCTGGCATCCTGTCAGCTCACTTCAACCGGCGCAATGAAAGTAACACTCAGGATACGCCATTAAACCTCTTGCACAGCCTATACACATATCTTTCATAGGCATGGCTGACTTCTCAATCGTGATTACAATCGAATTCCACTGTTTCCTTATTAAAGAACGTGAAGATTTAATGAGTGAAATCATGTGCTGAATGGGACAGCATTAGCTCAGGAAGTGGAGCGGCTTGTGCGGTAATCGAAAGGTTGAAGAATCGATCCCAACTCTGACCAGAAAATGCTGCCGCCTCTCATTGCACCTCAGGGAAGCTGTGACTACACTGTAGCTCATTCTGGATGGATTTTTCTCAGTTGCTAACACAATTGGCAATCTTTTAAATTTCGGATTCTCTTCAGTCAACTCGATTGAGATTAACACAGTTCGTTGACACGTTGATGAACTTAACAGAGAATATCCGGCTCTGCGTAAGCAGGTACTGCAGCAGCGGCGTGCCCTGAGATAGCTGGGCACGTCTGAAAAACAGCCTATGACTGTGAGTCCGCGTTCACATGTTGTTCATACTACTGCTGTTGTTGGTGACCGTTGGTTACTTAATACCCCTGCTAGAGAAGCTTATGTTTTCTATGAGCGTCATGGTGTGTCCACACGAGTTTTGCTTCCCTCTCAAACCCTATGGGTAACAGTTCCACGTGAAACTACGGTCCATGTGGGTGAGGTCTCTCTATATTACTTGGATCCTGGTGAGCATAAGTCTAAAGTGGAGTTTTCTCCTTTTTTTGATAACATCTCCTTTGCTCTTTCTCCAGCTTCGGTGGATCGTGTTACATTCGATGGTCCAACCATGGTTCGGGTTGGTGTGGTGAACAGGGTGCTGCATGAGTTGTCGGCAGATTCTGGTCTCAGGTTTCAACCAGTGTCTTACTCCTGGTCCTCCGCTGATTCTGTCGTGATATTCACTGCATGCCTAAACCTCTGCCTGTCATGGGGTTTGTCATTTTTCCTGTTCCATGACTTCTCCGCACGGTTGACCTTTCAAGGGGACTCGGTCCGCAGCGTCGGGTGGCGCCTATCTCGGGCCATTGCACCGGTTCGTGAAGCACCGGCTGCCCAGGTGCCTCATCCTGAGCTGGCCGGTCCTGCTCCTCCACCTGCACCTCCTGCACCTTCAGCTAGAACTTTGAAGGTGGAGTCATTCCAGTTGCCAGACTCATCGCTCCATAGTTCTCTATCTCGAGTTACACAAGTTGTTCTATGTTTGTGTGTGTGCATGGCTGTCTTTCCTGTTTATACATGACGTGCAGACTTGGGTGATTTGAGATGGTCATGCTGTGGGTTCCTGAAGTCAGGTAATGTTAGTTAACAGTGGATGGGTTTAGTCCACATATTACTGTTATCCAAATTTGTTTTTATTTTCACTAATCTTAATTCCTTATAGGTACATTTGCATGTAGGTTGATTACTAACTTCACTGATTTACATTTTTAGTGCTCTTTGATACTCATATTTCTATCTTTTTATAGAATTTTACTACATTGATTAAGTTTTGAAAACTTTATGATTAACTTTGTTAATTTAACATTATGGATTACAACCATTTTTGTCCTTCAGTTTGATAACATTTTTACTTAGTGCAGTGATTTTTCCCATACGCAGTATAGGGTTTTATTAATTTTATTCTTTTTGCACCACTTTTTCCAGTACACGTAGTATATTGCATCCATTTCTTCACTTAAAACACTAATTCACATAATTACTACACATAGTACATGCAGGTACTCACAGTGCTAGGTTTCTTTTTGTTTGTTAATTTACATTGGATGCCATTTTGTTGTGTCTACATTGAAGTGCCCTGTGCTGTGCCCTCTCTCCTCTGCTGAGTTTCGTCGATGATCCTCGATTCCTGGGGGTGGACCTATGATTCGTCATCGGATTCTACTCCTCCTGATTGGTGTTCCGGCTCGTAGGACCTGGACGTCCGTGGATTCCGGCATGGTTGCTGGGATACTTCGCTCGCTGGGACCTGACCTGTCTGCACTGGATCACGATAAGTGCAATTACAAAGATCAATATGCTATTTTGGAAGTATTCCCTACCCATGGAGATATAAAGTTTTGCTCCTGCTTCGAATTATTACTTCCACGGGAATATCTTGATAATCTGCTGACTTGTGTGCTTCCCGAGGGATTATGCGAGACTGTTCTTCAGAGTGGGGCTCGTACCTCACCACTTTTGGCCTCTTCCTGGGAAACTACACTCTTCCTGGGGAATTGCACCTTGCTCTATCGTCGAAGTCCTTCAAGACTCTGGTTTGTTCAATGTCAGGTGGTCTCTGGATGGACCACCGTGCCCTTGAAAAGGGGGGTATGTTACGTGATGACGGCGCTATTCCACCGAAGGTTATTTACCCTCTCTCCTCAGATGTCTCTGACACAGAACTAATCTGCATGAGACTGCCTCAAGGTCATGCATTTGCTTCTAAACTGCTTCCTTTCCAGCCCAAGAGAAGAATGAAGACAAAGGACTCTTTCTTTTTAATAAATCAAAGAACTCTATTTTTAATAAAGCTTATCAAACTAAGTGGTAGTCAATAATAAGATGTTGACCAATCTGTGAAATGACAATGTTATGATTAGTAAGTTTTAATGAGTAATGTGTTGATGTAGCGGGCGCTGCATGCTGGGAACCTCACGGATGGCGTTGCTGTTTGGACTGCCCGTGTGCTCTCTCCCCCCAGCCATAGTGTGTCGGCCCTCTGTCCGCCCCAGCTCGAGAAGGAAGCATCGTAGAAGACGGGGAAAGCGAGGTAGCCTGTGCGTGAGACATCGGGCTGGACTTCCTGGATCCCTGAAGAAGCGGCTGGTCCGATTCGGCCCAGCTTGTGACCCTTTGGCTCTGAGACGTCTGATGTATAACTCTGCGCTCTGCCTTGTGAACTTGGCCGGCTTTGAGGGTGAGCTGGCACCGTGCCACAGCCTTTCGGCTTGAGGACCTCGCCAGAGTGGGGTTTGCTGGGAGAATCTGAGCTCGGTTACGGGCTCTGAGCTGGAGGAGATGGTGCCCGTGCGCGATCCCGGTGCTGTGGCCCCGCAGCAGACCAGGTTTGGTCTGGTCAATGCCAGGTCTGTGCAGAACAAAACTTTTATTCTTCTGGATTTTTTTTAATTCAACATGACTTGAGTTTTCTGTGCATCTGTTGCCACCCTCAGTTAGGCTGTCCCCTTCTCTGCCAGAATCACCTAAAAACACACCTCCTCCGCTTGGCGTTTCCAGAACATGTTTGATTTTGGCCCTCTTTTATGTTGAATCCAATCCACAGTTTTCATTGGTACACTCAATCCATCCACTCAATCCAAATGTGTTTCACACATTTGTCCTTTACCAGAATGTTTCATCTATCTTGTAATTTCCATTTTGTATTTTGTAATTTGTATTTTGTAATTTGAATTTCTTTTATTGTTGATTTATTCAATATATTTACATACAACTGTACAATGTTCAGCGCTTTGGGCTTCCTGACAGGGTTGCGGAAGGCGCTTTATAAATAAAGCTTTGATTGATTGATTGATTGATTGATTGATTGATCTGTGAGTCCTGGATCCCGTTTGGTGACTCAAGCACCCTGCTGGAGCTGGTACCATCTGGCTGCTCCTGTTTTAATATCCCCAGATCACGGGGCAGAGGTGGTGGGCTGGTTGTTGCTTTTAAATGCAGCTTTCCTTGTAAACAGCTTACAACCACCATGTCATTTTCTTCCTTTGAGCTGTGCCTATTTGAACTGTGTATCTCCCCCCGCCTGCTCGTTGTGCTGATTTATTGCCCTCCAAAGACTGACTCTAACTTCCTTAATGATTTCTATGATCTTGTGGCAGACTGCATCCTAAAATATGACTATGTCCTATTTTTGGTGATTTTAACATCCATGTCTGCTGTCCTGACAATGTGCTTGCTAAAGGCTTTTTGAATTTGCTAGATTTGTTCAATTTAACTCCATGGGTATCGTCCCCAACTCATGCCAGGGGTCACACCCTGGACCTGGTTCTCTCTTTTGGTCTCCCTGTCATGAACCTTGTGACTTTGCCTCCTGTGTTCTCGTACCACCCTCCAATGCTCTGTGATGTTACGTTGCCATGTCCTGTCCCTGTGTGTGAAGCACCAGCTACTAGGTTCAGAGCCCTGGATGCAGAAACTGTTGCAATGTTCGTGGACTGTATGTCTGTAAGGTTAGAGACCTTTAACCCAGATCAATCTAACATTGATCACTATTCACAACACTTTGATTTACTTTGTAATCAGGTCCTGGATGTGATTGCCCCTCTCAAGCTTCGCAAGTCTAGGCCTAGGAGGGAGCCTTGGCTCTCTGATATCACAGGGGCTTGTAGGCGGGCGTGTAGATCCTCTGAGAGAAAGTGGAAAAAGGATGGCCTACAGGTCTCGCGTGAGTTGTTCAGAGCATCTCTGGTTGCTTATCAGGATGCTGTGAGGGCTGCCAGAACGGCCTATTTTGCAGACATCATTGAAACAAACTCCAAGAATCCCAAGATTCTCTATAAAACACTGAACTCTGTTCTGGTGTATCAGGAGCCTAGCTTCATGTCTCCTACAGCTGCTGGAAACTCTGTGAAAAAAGAATTTGTGAAAATCTTCAAAGTATCAGGCATTAGAGCAGCTATTTCTGGTAACTCTGTTGACCCTGTTCCAGTTCCTCCATCACCACCCACCCTGAGCTCCCTCAGTACTGTTTCATACTCTGAGCTGAGTAAGCTTGTTGCAAGGCAGAAGCCATCTGGCTCTCCACTTGACGTTCTGCCGCCTCGTCTCTGGAAGACTGCCTTTCCGTGCCTTGGCCCATCACTTGGTCAGATTATCAATGGGAGCCTCAGCACAAGTGTGGTCCCAGCTGCTTTGAAAGCAGCAGTTGTTCGGCCGACCCTGAAGAAACCTGGTGCTGATGTCTCTGTGATAGAAAATTACAGGCCCATCTCTACCCTGCCCTTTACATCTAAACTGCTTGAGAAAGTCGTTTATCAGCAGCTGGTCTCACATTTAGCTGACTCTGATCTGTTTGAGATTTTCCAATCAGGGTTCAGGTCTGGCCATAGCACAGAGTCAGCTCTACTGAGGGTCTTAAATGATATCTACCCATCACTAGATCAGGGTACATCTGTGGTGCTTCTGTTATTAGACCTGACAGCAGCCTTTGACACAGTTGACCACGCGATTCTACTTGATCGCTTGGAACGATGGGTTGGGCTCAAAGGGTTTGCTCTGGATTGGTTTAGATTGTACCTCCACAACAGGAAATTCTGTGTTAAACTGGGTGATGTTTTTTCTTCTTGGGAGGGGCTCCGCTGGGGGGTCCCGCAGGGATCTATCCTTGGTCCTCTTTTGTTTGCCATTTATCTGCTTCCTCTGGGGTCAATCTTTCGTAAACATGGCCTAGCGTTCCATCTCTATGCTGACGATTGCCAGATGTACTCTCCATTGTGTCAAGAGAAAGATCTCTCTATCCAGTCCTTTGTGTCCTGTCTTAACGAGGTGAAATCTTGGCTAATGGCCAACTATCTGCATCTGAATGAGGGAAAGACAGAGCTCATTGTTTTTCACCCCAACAACAAGGCTGTGGGTCGTTATGTTGATCTTGGCCCTCTTACTCCCTACTCAAAACCAGTTGTCACCAGTCTGGGGGTGAAAATTGATGCTGGACTTAAATTTGATGCTCACATCAACTCTGTGATCTGGTCCAGTTTCTTTCATCTGAGACGCCTTGCAAAAATCAAGCCTATGCCGTCGAGAGCCCACCTGGAGTGGGTACTCCATGCTTTTGTCATTTCTAGGCTTGATTACTGCAACTCTCTCTATGCAGGGTTGTGTCAGTCATCACTGCGTCGCCTACAGGTTGTGCAGAACAGCACAGCCAGGTTCCTGACTGGGACCAGGAAACGGGACCACATCAGTCCAGTTCTGGCCTCCCTGCACTGGCTTCCGGTTTGTTATCGTTCACACTTTAAACTCCTCGTCTTTGTTTACAATTTCTTCCAGGGTGGTGCTCCCCCATCTAGCCACACTCCTGAACAGACATTCCCCATCATGTGCTCTGCGCTCCTCTGACCAAGGCCAACTCGCTGTCCCTCGTTCTAGGTGTCGTACTCATGGGGACCGGGCTTTCTCAGTCCTAGCACCGTCATTCTGGAACCAGTTGCCACCCTCAGTCAGGCTGTCCCCTTCTCTGCCAGTCTTTAAGAGTCGCCTAAAAACCCACCCACCCACTGTGGAATGCTGCCGTCGCTATGGCAACTCTGTCTCCTATCCCAGCCTGGGTGCGGGCTGTGAAGGCCGTGGAATCGTTCCAAGAGTCACTGTGCCCTCCAAACCTCCACGACCTCCTTCCCCTGTCCAGACGGAGGTGACGTGTGCTGCTTATTGTGGCTGCAGGGACTGAAGTGTGGAGAGTCCCAAACCCACCACCCCACCTAGTGGACACTTATGTTGTGTGATGTCTGAAGTCTGTTGCATCTGTCTGAGGTGTTTTTTTGCAGAGCAAAGCTGCCCTCCCTGTGGAGGGTAGCTCTGAAGTGCCTTTTTTTCCCCTCCACCTGAACCAATCCTCATGTTACCCTCTTATCTCTATTAAGGTAGCGCGACTCAGGGTTGCAAATGAACACAGTCACCAATTCTTGTCATGTGTCTTTGCCTATGTAGGTCTGATCTCTGAATTATGTGTACTGAAACTCTAATTTCCCTCTGGGATTAATAAAGTATCTTTGAATTGAACGTGTTTGAGTCAGGCCCTCTTATGTTGATTTTATTTCCCTGCTTTCATTGGTCTCTGTTCCTTTTTTTACCCATTTGTCTTCTACTTTAATGATTTACCTCTTTTGCTCTATTTGAATTGCTTTTATTATCGATTTATTCGTCATGTTTCACATTTCTCATGTACCGTGTTCAGCGCCTTGGGCTTCCCGGCAGGGTCGCGGAAGGTGCTTTATAAATAAAGCTTTGATTGATTGATTGTCTTTGACCGCAACTTCTAAGACTGCTCAAAACGCGAGGTTTAGAGCTGAAAACGTCTCTTGGATGAGAGTTAATAACCAGGAACGTCCAGATGTTTTCATTAAATCTCTTAGGTTGATGGTGTCCAGGATGACTGAGAATCTACACCTACATGCTGAAGACTCTGTCTGGATTAATATGAAGTGTGTGTTCCTAAGGTCGTATTAAATCAAATATTCAAAGACCAATAAGATTGATCATTTATAATTAGATGGAATATCACATCTTATTGATCATTCAGTAAAAGTAACCACTTCCATCACGTTACACCATCAGCATGGCTCTACACTTCATCCTGCAGCATCTGGACTCCTGGGTACCTACACCAGGATCCTGCCAGAAGCAGAAACAGCTGGAGTTAGCAGGTCAGATCCACGGTGTGTAAAGTCCACTCATGGAGGGAACAGGAAGGGAAACCACTGAAGAACCAGGATAAACAGACCCGAGGAAACATGGACGGAGACACAGCGCTGCCCCGTGGCCAGGCGGGAATGTGGAAACGGACCTGTGGCTATTCCAAACACAGGCGCCATCTTGTTAGCGGCCAGAAGCAGAGTATGGGTGGGATGAGGCTGGCCCATACTCTGGAACAGCAGCTGCTATGTGTGGACTCTCATGTGATTTGTTTATTTACATTTGTAGTAAACCTTTCTCCACACTCATCATGACTAAATGATTTAGGTTTCTTCTGGACTTTCCTGCACGAGTCTACATGTTGCTTCACTCTAACACATTTCTTATGAACCAAACAGCCTGAAGACCTTATTGCTGGATGACTTGTCTCCCTCACGTGTCTCTGGAGAGACCACTTGTGAAGAACTTGTTGACAGACTTACCATCTGACTCAGAAGACCTGCTCTCATTCCAGTCATCATCTTCATCTCCAGTTTCAGACCCAGAGTCTGACAGCTCAGAGTCCCGATTCACATCATCATCTTCATCATCATCATCATCATCATCATCTCCACTAACTTCAGTCTCTGAAGAATCAGATGTTTGTTCATGAGGGTTCAGATCTGGGTTCCTGCTAGTTCCTGCTTCTCCACCAGTTTCTGCTGCCACCTGGTCAGCTGAGCTGCTGGTTGGAACATCTCTGTCTTCTATTTGCTGCTGATGAAGCTGTGAGACCAGAGGTTTCTCTTCATCATCCTCACTCTTTATAGAAACAGCAGTAACAGGAAACCCGACAGCTTCATTCTCCTCCTTCAAACAGAGATGCTCTCCCTCCAGACTGGTCCAGAGCTCCTCCTGTTCCTCCTTTATGTGGAGGTGTTCTGGGTCCTGCTGGTCCACACCAGCACTCTGTTCTTCAGGAGCTTCTTCTTTAACCAGCACCAGCTGTGGAACATCTGTAGGAAACACAGACACATGATGTTACAGACCACCATACCTTTATATTTACACCATGAGTGATACTGGCTACATGATGTGGGAAAAAGGAACAAGAACATGAACTTCATTTAGATAAAAACAGATTTCTACTTTAGGAACAATAAAAACTTCCATCACAATCAGCGTGTTTGTTTCTGACCAGAACTTCTAAGCCTCCTACTCACAACCCAAGCTTTAGATCTGAAGCTTATGTGAGGAGAAACGTCTCCAAGATAAAATCAGCAACTATTCAGTCAAAAGGAAAATGAATAAACACTTAGATGTAGCTGCTGTCAGTAACAATCTTTCACTTTTAAGCTCTCAGCAGGCTAGAGCACTACAAAGCAAAGGAATCTTACTAATTAGCATTTTGGGAGATTTATTGTTGTTATTATTGTATTAAATATGTATATATATACATATATGTATATGTATATATGTATGTATATACATATATATGTATGTATATATATATATATATATGTATATATATATATATATATATATATATATATACACATACATACATATATATATATATATATATATATACATATATATGTATGTATGTATATATATATATATATATATATATGTATGTATGTATATATATATATATATATATATATTAGGGCTGCACGATATTAGGAAAACCTGCGATATTCGATAACAGTGCTTAATATTGCGATATCGATATTACTCACGATAAATGAGCAAATACTAAAGTATGCAGTGTTGATGTCGTCTGGCGTGAGACGTCTGCTCTGGGTTCAAAGCAAACAAAAACTAATGCATTAATTCCATTACAACATAACATTTTTACTGCAAAAATATGCAGCTGCACCTGC